TTTTTTTTCCCGTAATTTGATAACTCGAGAATTTGGGAAGCTACAAGGCTGAAATCGTACGAGGATTTTCCCCGCCCAAGTAGGTGTTAATGAGCTCAAACCCAGCCCCGCGTAAGCGAGGTACCCATGTATGGTTTCGTGAAAGTTTTCTCCCAGTATATTACTAATTCAGATGCCAGGAAAGCTTGAAAGCTGATATTTTAATGGAGTGTTTCCTGACAGTTCTGGTGGCCAGTCTTAATTTGTTTTGCTTGAAGCATTTGCTAGGAAAACCGGTACCGGCAGCGACCAAAAATGCGGGGAACTGTGGAAAAAAAGCATCTTCGTACGGGCAGCCTGTGCGCTGGCGAATTATGTTATCTACTTCTGTAATTTTTAAGACTGACACCAGCGGTAACAGAACGAATTTTTGGAAATTCGGATTTGGGCTCCATCAACATTCAACGTGGTCGCGATCATGGAATTCCGGGTTACACTGCATGGCGTAAATTTTGCAGAATGCCAGAAGTGGAAAAATTCGAAGATCTCAACACAACAATTCGGAATGCAATCCTGCGTTCGAATCTTAAGATTTTGTACAGAAATGTTGGTAAGGTTGCTTGTTCAAAAAAAGTCAATGAATTTCCGCAATTTAATCGTTGTATTTAGAACAGCTTAGCTACCAGGTAGCAAACTATCTCTGAGCGGTCTGAAAATGGCAACGCTTCGCTCAAAATGTCGTTAAATCTACAAGTAACTAGAACATTGACAAGGTGGCCTTTTCTGGAGAGTCATTATGATATCGTTAGTGGTCAGCTTTTTGATCTTCCTGGCGTTCCTTTTATCTTCTGAAGAGGCTACCGACCATTTTTTGGTCTTCCTGGCCAAAAAATGAAAGAGAAGCCAAGGTGACCAAAAAGCTGACCAATAGCGATATTGGTTAAAATAAAAAACGAAGTGAAGGAAGAAAATGGCTTGGTTGACTTGTCAGTTAACTAATATCAGATATTCGTTTCCAGTATCAAATATCTGGAATATCTAGAATTACGTCAGGATCAGCAGCAAAGATGTGGGGAGGAGAATGTTGGGGAAAACGTGTAAAATTTTTTTTAATCGCTGCTTTCACCAAGCAACAAGAGCAATAAGAGTTCCTGTTGTAAACAAAAGATCGCCGGCTGGTTATACGTTCCTAAATTCTGCTTTTTTTTTAGAAAACATCGATATGTACGTTGGTTGTCTGTTAGAAGATCCACTGGAAGATGCATTTATTGGACCCACATTGGCTTGTATCATTTCAGAACAGTTCAGGAGGCTACGATCTGGCGATCGGTACGATTTTTGGAGTTTTCACGTTCACTTTTCAAGATACCAAATAAACCGAATGCTGAGCGCTTTTTTTTTATCTTTTGGTTTCCTACGCAATTTTTTTCGTCACAGAGTTTATAAGTGCCTAATTTCTGAAATAATCTTTAATTTGATAATAGAAAGTAGATTTAATTTATTTTCCTACTGTTTTAGTTTTCCCCTTTCTGGCTGCTTTTGTTTTG